GTGGAAGTTCCTTCCTTTCCCGTGAACTCCTTTTGGCCGAAAGATGACAACACAGGGAACAATCCCTCTGTGTGTGTACGGGTGCGCGCACAGTCAAGTCGAGGTGTGCAGTGGATTGTTTACCGACACCGTTGTCTACAATGCACTGAGAGAGCAGACGAGTGTTTCTCTGCATTAACATCCTCTTCCTTGATACCCTGTGCCCTTGCATCGCTCGATAATGCCAATGTCAACAGGTTGATGTGCCCAGAGATTCCTCAGTGGAGTTCCTCTCGGATCACTGAACTGTTTGGTCCACAAAACCCGGGGCAGACATTAAATTGTCTCGAGTAGTTTCGTAGGGGTAACATAAGAAGAAAAAACTCACGAAATCTCCTTTCGGTTGTTTGAAGACTTTTGAGATGAGATTGTTGACAGACGCGATAGCGCCCACCTGAGAACTCATCCTGAAATTGACCTCGACATTAAGGGCTACTTCTCAAGAGTTGGACTTAACCTACAATATCTGGGCAGACTAGCACATATGAAACACGCAATAGGTAATAGTTTTTGCAAAGGGGTTGAGTTGTTGACGAAAAAGGGCGCATTGGTTCGGTGAGCATTTGAAATTGACCCTATGTTTTACGGACAATGTTCTGCCTATCCATTACACTGTTCAGCTCATAAGAAACGTTAAACGGCAATTGGCAGAATGAAAAGAAATCAAGTTTTTATGGTGCCCGATATTGTTTGGGCTTAATGGTTAGAGGAGCAGTCCATCGTAACGCTGAACAGATGAGCTCGTAACATTAAAAAAAACCGACCTAAATATGGGCGCTATCACAAGACTAGGGGCAGTGTGGTGGCAGTGCATTTAAAATCGCAAGAAACATCCTATTGTGCTAAGTCTGAGCTTCAGGAAAGGGTGAAAGGGCTCCGAGATGCGCTAGCAGTTTTCGTTTTTCTCGAAGTTCCTGCCCCCTAACCAGATTTAGTCGTTGAGAATCTTGCGATAGTCGAGGAATTCTACCAGCACTAGTGGTCAGTTCATAGAAAGCAGTCACGTGCCAGCAAAAGGGTAATAATAAACAACTTCCACGGCATTCCTATTTGACTGTACCCTTCTCACGAGATCTCACGTGGACCATGGATTATAACGGAAACTTAAGGGGTTCTGACAGATCCAAGCGTTTCTGTGATCCAAATGAAGGAGATACCTTTTTTGGATCATTCAGTGGAGGAGCTTATATTTACATTGGACCAGGCGAGGGACTAGGACCAGCGCTATCACCTACTAGCTTTGATTCCTTACGTGGCCAGGGGTGCTCATAGCAGGGGTTACGCTATTGACCCACACGGATATCTCGGATGGCAAACGACTAGCTTCTCTCTCTGCCCCCCCCCCCGCTAACCACTAACCGCCCCCAGGCTCTGGAGGACCACCTTTTCCAAGTTAGGTGTGAAAGGGATGTCACCCGAAGCAGTCTCCCCGAAGGAACACAACGAAAAGGAAGCAAAGCATGCTCTAGACAT